TATTTACACGGGTGTCCTATTTATCTCACTTACAAGTATGGCCTCAATCTGCATCCATTTAGCTATAAATGTCTCTAGTTTCTCATTCTTTAAGGCTGAGCAGCACTCCATTTTATTAAAAAATCCACGTCTTCTTTATCCAGTTTCCAGTTGATGGGCACTTGGGCTGTTTCCAAGCTTTAGCTATTACATACTGTGCTGCTATAAACATGGGCACACATATATCACTGTGGTATGATTCTTTTAATTCTTTTGGGAAGATACTCCGCAGGGGAATAGCTGGGTCAAATGGAACCGCTAGCCCTAGTTCTTTGAGGTATCTCCATACTGATTTCCACAGTGGTTGCACCAGTCTGCACTCCCACCAACAATGGAGAAGGGTTCCTTTCTCCCCACACTCTCGCCAGCATTTGTTATTGGTTGATTTCTTGATAGCAGCCATTCTTTGTGGGGTGAGGTGGAATCTGTGTTGTTTTCATCTGCATCTCTCGACCAGTGATGTTGAACATTTTTTCATATGCTTATTTGCTGCTTTTACTTCTTTGTCTGAGAAGTGTCTGTTCATTTCAGATGCCCATTTTTGAACTGGGTCTTTGAATTTGGGGGGGTCTGATTTTTTTCAGTTCTTTATATATTCTAGATAGTAGTCCTTTTTCCAAGGTACAGCTGCTAAGATTTTTTTCCCACATTGTAGGTTGTCTCTTAGCTCTGTTGGTGGTTTCTCTTGCAGTGCAGAGCTTTTTAATAAGATGAGATCCCGGTTGTTGATTCTTTGTGCTAGCTCCTGTGCTACTGAGGCTTTGTTCATGAAGTCTTTTCCTATGCCAGTGTCTTCAAGAGTTCTACCTAACTTATCTTCCAGCAAGTTTAGTGTTTCTGTCTTAATATTTAGATCTTTAATTCACTTCAATCTTAGTTTAGTGCATGGTGATAGGTATGGGTCTAGTTTTAATCTTTGGCAGGTTGAAATGCAGTTTTACCAACACCATTTGGCTATCCATTCTTAATCAAAGATCTAAGTATAATTCTGAGTACAGTGGGATATTCCTGTAATTCCAACATTTAGGAGGCTGAGGCAGGAGGATTATAAGTTTGAGCCAGCCTGGATTGCAAAGTGTGTTAAAGGCAGTCTGGACGATACAACAGCAAAAACAAACATAAAATTCTAAGCATAAAAATGGAAATTTCTCCCTGGGTCTTTTGGTCTTTCTGAATGCGCTCATATCATGTAAAACATGTATTAAATACATCTGTTATGCTTTTCTCTTGTTGACCAGTCTTTTGTTGGAGTGCCAGTTGTGACCTTCAGGAGAGTGAGAAAACGAATCCCATCTTTCTACCCCAACAGTAGTAAATGATCATTTTGAGCTCATTTTGTTGTACTTGAATAACTGATCTTGGAAGCAGATTTGCCTTCACTGGGACCTTCAAGGTCACACATGGTTTGTCTGAAATGGACAAGGCTTCTAAGAGTTCCCTATGTTCTTACTTCCTTTCCCTCTCTCGAGGCAGGAAAGATGTAGGGAGTCAGCTAGCAAGCTCGACAGGCAGACAGGCAGAGCAAGCACACACCAAAGTCTTTCCCCCCAAAATAAGCCCAATCTAATCTGATCAAAAATTCTATAAATGTTAAGAGTTTTCTTATATTCAAGGTAAGACTTCAAAATGTGTAACAGTGTAATTTTTTTCATTAAGTTTATTGGTACATTTTAGGTATAAAATATGATGACATTCATCATTGGGAATTTGTAGCTGTATATGATGTATCCTAGTTCTTATTTTCTACCCATTCCCTTTTCCCTCCTTCAACCTCTCCACCCCTCCCTATTTACAAAGACTTTGTTTCCTTTTTTCCTTTTCTCATATTAATTCCATTCCCTTCTTTCCTTTCCCCTACCCCTTCCCCATCCCCTTTGTCCCTTTTCTTCCTATTTCATATTATCTATTATACATTTTGATCCTCATATATACTTTCAGCTTCTCACACCAGAGAAACTATTTGGTATTTACATATGTGTGTCCTATTTATTTCACTTAAGAGTATGGCTTCAATGTGCATCCATTTAGCCATGAATGTCTCTAGTTTCTCATTCTTTACAGATGAGTAGTACTCCATTTTATTTTTTAAAATCTTTATCTAGTCACCAGTTGATGGACATTTGGGCTGTTTCCAAGATTCAGAATGGATCAAAAAGCAAGATCCAACAATATGATGCATACAAGAAACACAATTCAAAAAGAAACTCATAGACTGAAAGTTAAAGGGTGGAACAATATTCCATGTGACAGGAACCCCAAACAAAGTAGGAGTAGCTATCCTATTTGCAGACAAAATGGATTTCAAACCAAGACTAATTAAGAGAGATGAGGTCACTACACCCTTGTGAAGGGCAAAGTTTTTATGTACATATGAAAATGGAAACTTTGTTTTCTCTATCAGAATAATAATAGACATAAAACCTTGCCAAATAAAGGAACTAATCCTCTGATTTAAAACTATTAAAGGGCTGGATGTATACTTCAGGAGAAGAGCATTTGCCAGCACGCACAAAGTTCTGTTATGTTTAATGCCCAGCACCACACAAAAAATAATAATAGAGAGAGAAAAAAATAGCCTTCAAATAATATCAATTTATATGCAAAGTAATTCGTAGAGTATTTATCCTTAAATCCTTTCCTCTTCTCTTCCCTTCCTAATCCCCACCCAATCCAATACTGTAGTGAAAAGGATTTCCGAATTCCACTTTTTTCTATCTGTTCTCTTTCTTAATGATCTTCACACATTTTTATGAAATCAGCTTTTCAAACTTTCTAAATAGCTGAAAAATACTTCAAGTGATCGCATTGCGCCATCTGGTGGAAACTGTTTTCCAGGCAGAGGCAAAGAAGAGAATTTTTCGGCTTGTATTGTCCTGGCTCTGTTCTGTTTGGCTTAATCACGAAGACATTCTGATAAATTTTACAGCCAAGTATCTGAGGCCAATCTCCATCCTGTCTATGTACCTTATCAATTCAGTCTTTAAAAAAACTTTTAAAATTTTTATGGGTACATTTCAGATATACATGGATGATAACAACAGGGAATTTTTACCTGTACATGATATACCTTGCTTCTTTTTTTCCCCATTCCCCTCCCTTCTATTCAACCCCTCTTTCCATCCTTATTTACAAAAGCTTTGTTTCCATTTTTTTTCCAGGACAAGGAAAAAAAAAAAAGAACAGAAGGTCCAAAAGAAATCTTTGCATCTGCCCTGTAATGTTTCTAAATTAAATAAACCTAAACCAAACTTTTTATTCTGTCTCATGAACATGTAGCAAATAAATGTGCTGCCCTTAAATCTTTCCATTTTTATCCCAAATAAGTTATTTTTGTTTTGGTTTTTTTTGGTACCAGGGATTGAACTCGGGTCCTTGCACTTGCACAGCAGGCGGTGAAACCACTGAACTAAATCCCCGGCCTGAAAATAAGTTTTATTTCAAGTAAATATTGTAATAGTTTTGATATAGGAGAAATATAACTCCCAACCTGGTGGATGTCAAATGTGCCATGTTTATGGTCCCACAACACCGAGGAATGAAGTTGCAAACCAAAGGAAGAAGTTAGGAGAGTTTAATTAGAAATAAGGAGGAAAGGGCTCCTGGATTTCTAGAAGGGGTCCTGAATAGAGTGGCCACCAAGGCCCTTCGTCAGGGGTAATTTATACAGCAAAGTCACAATGTGAGTACAACTTGGGTCAAACTACGATCCACCACTAGGATTACAAGAATAGCAGCTTAGTTAATATTGATCCAATAGGGAAGCAAGTCATGTTTCCCTATGTTTCATGCATGAAAAGCACAAAAGCATTTTTGGGAAAGGATGGCTCCAGCTGCTCTGGTCACCCCCCTGACTTACTGGACCAAGTGGTGCTAATTACAGTATAATCTCAAATTACTGCTTATCCCTTCAGGAAGCATGTAGGCCTGGCCATTACATCTTCATCCTGAGGCCTGGCCTTCTACAGATTCATCTCCAGCCACAATTCTGATGCCTTTATTTTTGTGTTGACTTCCTTGAGAGCCCAGTCCCTCTCTGATTGTACGTTAATGTGTTAGTCACTTTTCTCTCCTTGCTGAGACAAAACACCCAACACCCAATGTTAGAGGGGAAAGGGTTTATTTGGCTTACAGTTGGTAGAGGTTTCAGTCCATCAGCTGACTCCAAGGCAGGGATGACAAACAGGCATGGCAGAGCAGAAATAACATGGTACTCACAAGGTAGCAAAGGTAACAAGAGGAACTTAACAGTGTCTTCCTGCTCCTCTTATCCCCTCCAGACTACTGTGGTTAGGTTGGTCCCAAACCTATCACTCACATGTAGTGGTTTAGTAATCACACACCCTTAATTCCATCACACATTCCAGATTCAACTACCTCTGAAAAAGAAAATCCCACCTCATCTGCATGAGGCTTTGGGGGGACATCTAAACACAAACCCTAAGAGTTAATTTCTATCCAACTTAAGTGCCTATAATAGTTTTATAAAGTGATTCACAAATAGCACTTTCTTCTGGAGTGGCTTGCCAGTGTACATAACCATGCCATAAAAACACCACACAGATTAGGACCATCTAATGTTTTTACCTGTTTTTATAGCATGCCAATTCCAAAGAGACTCATTGATAGGATATTCATTTCCTTACTATACATTATTCCTGTATTTATCAATGAATAATGCACAGTACATCAGTAGAGAATGATTTGAATATCCTATATTTCTTATTAATTATATCCTCTATGCTAAGCCATTGGTTGAGGGAATAATGAGATGGCTTTTTTTGTTTTGGGACAGGATCTCACTATAGTATGTTGCCCAGGCTGGCACTGAACTCCTGGGCTCAAGTGATTCTCCTGCTCCAGCCTCTCAAGTAGCTAGGACTACAGATGCATTGCCACCATTCCCAGATCAAGGATGCATTCCTATTAACAATGTTTTTTCTTGGCTTCTTTTCCCATTTCAGGTTGGAATCTCCCACAAGGAGTCTCAGCATGGACGCGCCGAAGGGCATTCATATCAATGCTCTTGCTGGGAAGATAGAGGCCCTTTCTCAAATGGACATCATTTTTCAGAGCAGTGATGGAATGGTGAGTCTAACAGACCCAGTCCTGCTGAGGATCTTGCTGAGGATCATATGCAAGAAGGCCTCAGCGTGTGAAGTTTCTAGCAGTTTGTATGAAACATTGTAAAAGGCATAGAATAGAAAACATTGAAAGGGCAGAAAGACACTTTAGCCTCAGAAGGACCAAGAAATGTTAGTTACTCTATATTAGATCTGCACAGCTTCCTTCAACATTTGTGCGATCAATCCACTTGTTATTTTCAACTTTCTGTAAAACACTACAGACTTTCAGAGTTTACTGAGAACATCAATTTTGCCATTTCCTAATAATCCAAGTTCTGTCCAGATGGCTGTTTACAGAAGTTACCTGAAAATGACACCCATCCTCTGTCACTGCCCAGAGTGCTATGTAAACTCCTACAAAGTAAAATGTAAATAAAAACAAAAGAAGAAAAATAAGAACATTTTTGAAAGTCAAATAAATAAGGATAAAATCTAGAAATTTAAACCTAGAAATGAAGTACAACCCACACAAGTCAAAGTCCTAACAAGATAATGGAGCACATGCTACTCAGTGTCAATTGTTGGAACTTTGTTTATTAAAAAAGAAAAAAGCTAGGGCTGGGGATTTAGCTCAGTGCTGAATGAACTTGCCTCAAAAACCCAGGATCCTGAGTTCGATCCCCGGTACCAGGAAAAAAAAAAAGGAAAATCTCACTTTCAGTCTGTCAGAAAATCAGACATTTGGGGATATTCCTGAAAGCGCTAGAAGAAAACTGAGGGTTTGACCCAAAAGCTGCTTCCAGTCATATGATGCCATATCACAGATTTACACAAACAACTGATCTCATCTCAGCCGGGTCCTGGATATTTTCATGTGTAGAAATGTATTCAAAATAAGTATTGCTCCCAGAATTTTCTTTTAAAAAGCCCCAGCTTAGCAATTTGCCATGAGTGGCTTGGGTTGTACTTGTTTATACCTCCAATTCCTGGCCACGTGGATGGAAGTAAACATCTGTGTACAGGGTTGGCACAGTGAGAGGGCCCACAGTGTCCTGCTCCTTGCCACCCTACCTCTCATTGCACGGTGACAATGCACAGACCCTGCTCAGAAAGCACAGCATAGTGGGCTGAGGATTCCCGAAAGTGAGAAGGCCCAGGCTGGATATATTCCCTAAATACCTACTTAAATTCTAGATCTCAGTGTGTCTCATTTATCAATGAGGGAAAATATGCTTAAATAGGTCACAGGGTCCAGAGACACTAATGTGACATTTTGAACTGACATTAACATTAATAGGAAGGTGTAGCTGAGATGCACGTGGATGTGGTATCCTCCTCAAGGAGGCCAAGAGCGGCCACTCCAGATGTGTGGATGAGACCTGGCAACTGCAGCCTGCAGGAAGGACATAAAAGGCATCTGGAGAAGCCAGTGCAAGCTGTAATGTATGAGGGGATGATACAGTATAAGGAGCAGATAAAGGCAGAAATGGAAATCAGGAATTTTGGAATCTCACTAGTAAGTCATGTCACTACATGCTTAAAATGTATTACCTTCAAAAAATTTAAACCGATCTTAATTTTAAAAAGATACAAATTTCTATTAATTAGGCATCATTTTTATAAGTACCACACATCCAGTCCCTTAATTAGAACCCACATTGCTTATTACTGGGAGCTAACTCAAAGTGAAAAGGCAGACGCCCAGCCTCTCACCAAATACTGTCCCAATGTTATGGCCTGTGTCAGATGTCCCCACAAAGCCTCATGCAGTCATAGATGGGGCTTTTCAGAGATGGCTGGATCTAGGGTGTGTGATGCTGGGATCAAGGATGCGATGCTAGGATTAAGGGTCTGAGCGCGTCCTGCCCTAAGGGTGGGTAGCCTGGATAAAATATAAGGGGACAGAAAGAGACTTGTCATGGTGGCTTGCTGCGATGCTGCCATCTGCCTTCTGCCTACCCTGCTTTGGCATGGACTTTTTCCTCTGTGATGCTCCTCTGCCATGCCACCCTGCCTTGGAGCCAACTATGGACTGAAATCTCTACAAACTGTAAGCCAAATAAACCTTTTCCTCTTTTAACTTTGGGTGTCAGGTATTTTGTCTCAGCCATGAGAAAAAGTAACTAAAATGCCCATAAATTCAGATGACTATGAAGAAGGAAGTGGTGTGAGCTGCCAGTCACTAAAGCTTCCTGGAGAAGAGAGGTAAAATGATAACTAGGAAAAAAGTGACCATTTGACCACAAGAAAGGGGAGAGGAAAAGCCAACAAGTTAAAAGCCTACTAGAGAAAAGCAGGTGCCCAAAGAACCCCAGGCTTTGGGCAGTAACCTAGAGGCGCTGCGTTTTAAACAGTGATGCCCACTGGCCTTCGTCTGCTCTGACAGTGTGCCAGAGGGAAGCTCCACCCATCACGCTTGCATTGGGTCCCCATTGCTCGTGGCACGGCCAACATCCCAGGGCAATGTTGAAGGTAGACACCTGTATATTAGTAGACTGGGTATCATGGTAAGAGCTCCATAAAATTAAGGAAGACTGAGTGTCTTAGAAAGGCAGAAAATTATCCTTACCCACAACACACTTTAATTCCTTCTAACAAGTGAACACCCTGGGATGGGTGCTAGGATCAGTGTGACAATTTTTATTTCCTTATTAAAAAGGTTTCCTAGCCTTCATCAATAGCTATTTGTTTGCATTTCAATACAACTAAGTTATATGACCAGAAAACCTAGTCACTTTCATTGTACAGTACTTGAATTGGCTTTAGTCTGTGCCTATTCCTTCTAAGAGAAGGCAACGGAGACCTGAGCAATATTTAATAGCTAAGGATATAGATGATAGCCAATAAGGTGAATTTAATTACCTCTCACAGGAAAACAAAATCACAAATAAAATCAGAAAACATTCTGACACAGGGAAAATTTACTAAGATGAATTTATTTCTGTGGACTGCATGTTATCCTAATGGGGAGATGATTTAATATAAAGTCAAAATTTATCACAAAATAAATGTGAATCCACAAAACTATTTTTTTCAAATAACTCCAAAAGGCACTTTAGAAGTATAGCATCATAAAACTGAAAAGCAATCCAGTTTATTGAACACAATTGGCCAATTTTCCCAGCTGGACTAGCTCAATGGGTAAATAAAAAAGTGGCCTGCCTTCAATTTGGAGAAATTGCCAAGCCTCTGTCTACATGCAAAATAAAACTTGGCTTCCAAAGAGCCAGGTAATTCCGATATGACTTAGGTCAGGTGCTTATTTCATTTGCTATGAAAAGAAACTCATTTTCATGAAACACATTCAGGACACATATTTCATGTTGATCCACTTCATCCCTCCTTTACATTTCATCTCTCACTTTCTCCCAAACAGCTTGTATTGGATGCTGAAACTGTATGTTTCCCCAAGCTGGTGCAGGGGACTCAAGGTCCCTCTGGCAGCCCGCAGGAACTCTATGAAATCTGTGTGTGTCCAGATGGGAAGCTGTACCTGTCTGCAGCTGGTGTGGGCACCACATGCCAGGAGCACAGTCAGATCTGTCTCTGAACTTCTGCCTCTCCCAAGAGCACCTGGCTTCCTTCCTTTCAGTGAGCTGAGACCTGTGACCTGGAGCCTTCACACCCAGAAGCCACAGGCATCCACTAAGACAGAGGCTGGAGATGGAGGAAGACTGTCTTCCAAAGGAATTTTCAAAGAAGAGAGTGCCAGAGGGAATGCTTAGTCAGAACAAGAAACATGGATGTTTGACACAAAAACTGAATGTCAAAAGACCGTGTTTATGTCACTGGATTTCAATTTTCATCAGAACAATCACCGACTTTTCTCTTCCTAGGCTCCCTCCCCATCTCTCCTACATGTCAACTATCACTGGAATGTTGACCTGCATGTGGAATTAATTTATGATGCTCATCAGTGTATCTAACTCCTCACGAAGTAGAGCAAGTCAGTGCCAACACAACTTGATACCAAACCTCAATTTAAGGCAGTGTCAGGCTTCACAAGAAAATCTTTAGATTTTCAAGAGAATTTAAGGTTCCTCTGATTATGTGTGTGTGTGTGTGTGTGTGTGTGTGTGCGCGCGCGTGTGTGTGTGTGTGCTGAGGATCGAACTCAGGACCTTGTGCTTTCGAGGCAGGCACGATGCCACTGAGCTAAATCCCTGGTCGATTCCTCTGTTTTTAAATATGTTGTCAAGGGAATAAATTACACAAAATCAGTCATATGCAATAAAAATCAACCTACATTTTTCACAGAATTCAGTTTAAGAGTCTTACTTTTTTTAATCCTCCCAACTTTTATGTAGTATTTTCCCCCAGTTTACTGGTGACAGACTCAGGCCAAGTCTCAAGATCACAGGTGAAGCTTACCAATTTGCACAGCTGCTTTTACTTGGAAAAACATTTGATACAATGTCTCATTCTGCCCCAAACACCAAAATATATGATAACTGTATACTTGGGATACAGTTAAGCTGACAGATGAAGATGCTGGAACCCAAAGGGGCATTTTTAGCTACTGAGATCAGACAGCTGGTAAGTGGTGAGGTTTCCACCAGGTCCACGCAGGTCCTCCTCTTCGGAGCACAGAAAGACTGAGTGCAGCTACACATAAGCAGACTCTCTCTGTGAAAATATGTTCAGTGCCAATTGTGTGGAAATGGATATAAACCAAAGGGGACACACTACATTGTGAAAAGAGGTTCATTTCATGTAGGCCACCCATTCACTTTGTAAAACGTCTCCCATCCCAAAGGTGGTGGTGGGTTTGCTTGTTGTGATATAATCAGTTCTTACAATAAGAATTCCCAAACAGCTAAGGATAGAGACAGACCAACAGCACTGCATCTTTTTAATTAGAGGATTTGTACCTCAAGTTCAAATTCATTTTCTAGTCTCAGAATTAAGAGAAATTAGAAAAGTAAACTTCATTTCTAGTGCTACTTTAATAAGGTGTTCATGGCTGGGGATTTAGCTCAGTGGCACTGTGCCTGCCTTGCAAGCACAAGGTCCTGAGTTCTAGCCCCATACCAAAACAAAACAAATCAAGTAAGTTTAAGTTTAATTTCATTTAAGTTTAACCCCCTCATAACTATGAGTTTTAAGTTGTTATTACACATAAACATATGACATTGCAAAATAAAAACACAATGCTTCCTAAGCACTAATTCACCTCTAACTGTAACGTTCCTAAAGTTTCACAGGGGGTTGGGTATTTTAATTATAAACTGGTTTCCACTGTTTCCATGTAATTAAGTCCTGAATTTAAAAATTAATAAATCAATGACTGCTTTCTACTGCAACATGCCTACTGTCCTACTAAACCATTGTTATCTTCTCATATTTACTCTCCTGTTCCATGTTTGTGCAAAACAAATGTCTTCAAGCCTGACCTAACACAGTGTTACTGAACATTTACAAATTGGCTTGATTTTTCTAGTATATGTTCAAAAAATGGTGGTGCTTAGATGATAATGAAGTCAAAAAAAAAGAATCAAGGAGAAAATATGAAGAATACAGAGAACAGAACATCTTTAATAAAATGTACAAATTTGATTTCTTTATATGGAATCATTGTGAAAGTTGTGGATAGCTCCATTCTCCAAAGTAATAAGGAATTTACCCCTCATTAGACTGAAAAATTAGATAAGCTGTTTCCTAAAATTATAAATACACTATACCACGTAATTTAAATTTTCACCGAAGTTCCAAGGTCATGATGATGAACATATCTAATGAGGTACACAGACTGCTACTAGACTAAATGGTCTACTACTGCGTCTACTACTGAGTGTTGATATTTTAAGGATTCAAAAATAGAACTGATTTCTTTTCAAATTTATGAACCCAATGAGAAGACACACGAGTCAAAAAGATGAAGATCAAAATAGAAATTTTAATAGTACAGACATCTGAGTCTGCAGCAAAATGGAGTTCCTAATACTTCACAGCTGAACACAGCACAACTTTTGGGCTAAGAGACAGAACTGCAGATTCTTAAAACTTCCTACAGAGAGCGGGAGGGACAGACACACCCTTTTTTGAAGGCCACCGATTTCACATTAAAAGGGTAGAGCCACATTTGTGGAGTCCTTCCCCCCAGTTTACCTGCCAGTAAGTCCTTCTTTGAAGAAGAGCAAATGAAAAATTTCTGAAAAGGCAGAACGTTTGACATGAAGGGTTTTAAGCTGTGTCAGTTTTGTATATTTTTGTCTCTTTCTTCCCCTGATAACAGCACATCTTACCTGGCTTTAGCAGCCTTCTCCATATTTAAAATTCCATTTCAACACTGCTGCGGTATATACATCAAATAATTTTCTATCAAGTATAAACCAAGTCACACATGAGACTGTCAGGCATTGCTAATAAAAAACATGTTTGTAACTGAATGCACAGGGCCACAAGAATGTCTTCTCAGAGGCAGGGCTTTGTCCTCAAGTGGGGTCTTTCCAGAACTATAGCTACATATATATTTTAAATAGTTTTTATTTTTTTAAACTAATTTGGCTTTAGAATATAAGTGGACCAATTTGTAACATTAGGTGATAAATCACATTAGACTGTGGTTTGGCAGAAACCCACAACCAGGATAGACTGTGGCCATCACGTCCCAACAGCCAACACATATAATCCCTGCAATGTGTTGATGTTACTTTAAGTCACATCCCTTGAAAATGAGACAAATGGGGGAAAAATAGAAGCCAGCATGTGAAGGAATTCTACCTGCAGACTAGATCCTACCATGCATTTCCAGCCTACAGGCTGTGTAGATTTTGTACTTGCCACTCCCCACCTCCTAAACTCATGAGGTAATCAGTTCCCGGCATAATAAATCTTGTGTGTGTGTATGTGTGTGTCTGATTCTATTCCTTTGATAGAACCCTGATGGACACATGGCTAACTAAATTCTCTGGCTGCTATTTTCTACGCACTACAGGTTACAGATGTTATTTTTGAGATCTACAAGTGTCAACTGGCACTACTAGAAGAAGATCCCACCCACCCCCAAGTCAGACCTGTGAAAACCTCATTATTTTGTCAAATGTTAATACAGTACTTTGCTCAAATCATTCTGAGGTTCTCAGCATTCCTTCATTTTACCCTCATTCCTGATTTATTAACTGTGTAACATTTCTCAACTGTTTCTAGATGAAAACTGAACAAATGGGCCACCTCGCTGGAGACTCTCTGCCACCCCTGGGAGGTGGGAGGACACTGCTCCACCCCTCTGTTCAATTGCATGTAACTCTGAAGCACCTACTCCAGGCACCCATAGTTTCCTTGTCATTTTAAAAATGAAAAAAAAATATGAGGAAAATGTACAAAATAATAAAATGCTTAAGTTAGTTCCCAGCAAAAATTCCTTACCCTTTTTGTAAAAATCTAAAAATACATGAAAAATGAAAATTCCAAATATATCTACTGCAAATTAGTGGTACCAAAACCTGACCTGAATTTGTATGAAGAGTATGGATGTCCAGATTTTCAGGAGAAATATTAATTTGTTTGCGGGGTGCTACTCAATTCTGGTGACATGTTTCACTAAAAATTTATATGCCTTCATATTAACTTTCTAAAATCAAATTTGAAAACACATCTGGACCCAAGTGTTTCACATAAGGGACTGTGAATCTGTACTTTTTTAAAGCATTTAGAAAAATAAATTCAACTAGACCAACTATCATCAAGGCAAGAAAACTGCATAAATTTAAACACTGACAAACACATTGCAAGTGTTGAATCTGAGATTCAAAGTAGCAAGCACTTTTAATTTTACTATTTCTTTTTCAGTTTTTTGAAATAGGGTCTAGCTATACAGTTCAGAGTGGCCTTGAACTCACTATGTAGTGCAGGCTGGCCTTGAATTTATGGCGCTCCTCCAGCCTCAGACTCCCGGGTGCTGGGATTACAGGCGTGCACCACCACCCCCAGCAGCACTTTTTAAATAATGCTAAGATCTCAGAGTTTGAGTTGCCCTAGAACAGAAAACTCTTAGCCCTTGTCTGCCTAACTTTGAAGACTTTGTATCTTAGGTATAAAGATGACTAATTTTTATCAGTTGAGGCTCAAGTGTGAATTAGCCTCAAATATGCAAGGTATCCCTTGAGGCAAAGAAACACAATTCCTGATATTTCCAATAAACATACATATACCAGTATATGCCATGAAAAATAAACAAAAGAAGTAATCACATTTGATTTCCAATGAACTCTT